CATTAATTTGCAATTTGTCTCGAGGGTTTTTAAACAAAATCAAATAATTGGTGTTTAAGCTGATGGAACGACTATGTTTTCCTTGATGAAAAACATTTTGAGTGATTAAAATGACGCTCATATTTCTGTGATGTCTCAGCTGGGTAAATAATTTTAGCACTCCAGGATGGCTGGACGTTTGAGACATCATGTCATCCAAGATCACCAAGTGGTTTTGACCCGATGGAAATAAATCATCATCCTCGAATGAAAGCGGGAGACCTTGAACGAATCGAATACTTTTATTACAAAGATCATCATACATAGGTTGATAAGATGTAAAAAACCACACAATGTTTTTTGGCATTTCAGTTAAACATTGCATACAATTTTCCAAAATACTTTTTACAAAAAAGGTTTTTCCACAGCCTGACGGACCAGCAATTTGTACACTGAATGGCAATTTTAGTCTAGCGTCAAAATCAGTTTCCATTTTTAATACCCGAATGGTTCTGTACTGCCGTCAGCAAACAACCTCCTTTTATCAAAAATCACACGAAACCTTTTCACAAATGAAACATTCGCGAGAGTGAGATCTTTTTTATCCCTCTTGATGACATCCTGTTGAGTTTGCAAAAATCTTCCCCTTTCTCCAGCCACATACCCCTCAACCAGCAGCGCTAAGCTGTCAAAATTGATGTGATCAGATGAAATGAATGACTGTGTGATACCCTTAGCCTTTATCACCACCTGCTGGCGGTCCCGGGTTTTGTAAGCATACGTTTTTGGACCGGCTGATGAAAATTCCGTGATGGAATCACCTCCAAGTTCGTCAGTTAGATCCCCCAGCAGCGGTCCTGTTGGTAAAACACACTCATTCTCTTTGACAGAATAAATTATAGAATCTGTATCGTAATAAATGACGCGATTTCCCAGTTTGTTCAACGCATTTAATAATTTCAATCTGGCATAAGTTGTGGTGAATGCAGCTATAAAAATGTTGTTGCTTCTGCCAGGAGTCGTTAGGCATTTTTCTGCCAAACTGTGTTGCACCAGAACGGTTCCTGAAGTGAGAAAACTGAAGAATTTAACATTGTATCTCCCTGAAAACAGAATGTCAAAAAATTCATCAGGTTTTTGAACAAATGTGGTTTGTACAAGATCATCTCTTTGACCAAACTTTCCCCAGAGTGAATTGAGACATAATTTTGAAATGGCACGCTTAGCAGGATTGTGCTGAATCTTAGACGCATCTAATAGTATTCCCTGACGAAGTTGGTAGTCCTGAATGTATTTTCTTTTTGAGTCATCGTCAATCAATCCTTCAGGAAAACCAGACGCTTGTTGTTTCTGCTTCAAAAACGTGTTAATGTAACCTGCGAACACATCTTTACTGCTTTTCTCAAAATCCCAGACTTCAATCATTTTCAACAGACTGTAACCTGAATCCAAAGCGTAATTGAGCTCTACACTCACCCAAACGCCCGTCAAAGCACGTTGAGACGCGCTGTGTGAACAAGAATCAGATTGATTATTCATTTCAGCGCATGTGCGACACAGTGTAAAAACGAGTTTACCTTTGGATGTTTTAAAAGGCAGAACAGGGAAAAACAGTTTTCTGGGTGGCAAAACGACAGCTTTAATCAAGCCAAAATAGTGACTTGGATCTCTGAAATTTTTAACATGAATTTTGGGATGGCCTATGGGGTAAGTCTGTGTGGCGTTTACATAAGGGTACAGACTCGTAAAATCCACATAGTGGATTTTTTCACCGCTCTGAGCAGAATGCCTCAGCCGAACCGGACAAGTTCTGCCTCCATACAGGGCTTCACGAGGTAAAAGAGGAGCCGGCGGTGGATCAAATCTTGAGACAAACTGTTTCACGTCCGGATCAGTTTTTACCATCTCCTGCCAATCATGTTCCCAAATGACATTCATTTTTAATCGATGCACAGTTTCCAACGACTGAAGCTTTTCGACGGTTTTGTCATAAATTTCACCAAAAGTGATTTTTCTCAGAGGACATATGGATGACTGTAAGAAACATTTTGGACAGCCGTGGAAAAAACAACCCATATACTCAAACCCTTGTTCGACGCCTGAAATCACAGCATATCCGTCGAGATAAAAATCTCCCACTTTATACTCCCCCAAAGGCGTTAAAGCGTGTTGAATGTCTACATTTTGACTGTGTGAAACCCATTCCAACCACACGATGCTTGAACTTGAAAATGGTTTTTGTTGCGGTCGATAACCGAGCGGACAAGGAATGGCCAATGTGTCTGGTTTTAGGAATTTTGATCTAAACACGCGCATGCAAGCTGAAGCGATCGTGACAGATTTCAGCGGGTCGATACCTGTTTCATTAAAAAACTCCTCTCTGAAAATACCGCATGCTTTACGCAGAATTTCCACATCGTTTCTACAATAAAACACGGCCTCCTTTCTGAAATCAAACAGCTGCTGTTTAGACACATCGGTGTACCATTCTAAAAATATTTTTTTATGCTCCGGAGACATTTGTTCAAACCCATAATGGCTGACATCTGGGTAAGGTCCTTTATAATTCAGATGTTCAAGCGATGAAAATCTGTGAGGAAAATAACCTTTAGTTTTATCTGTAAAGCCCAAAGCAGCTGGAAGATTGGCTAATTTCATCATGAGAAAACTTAAGGAATCAATGAATCTCAACCCGAAATCTGGATCGTGAAAACTCAGGATTTTACAGCCTTGCATGAGTATATTTTTGGGAACAATTTTTAATTGACACATAGCGCTCAGAATTATATAAGCATCAAATCCACGCGCATTGTGTGCAACAAATGTATAATTGCTGAATTTAGGACGACGCATCTGCATAATAAAATCTTTAATGCAATCTAAACCAAATTTCTCCCAAACGTCGCCTGAATCGGATTTTGCACAGATTAAAAAAGGTGTATGCACACCGTTCTGATCCGTAAACGTTTCAGTGTCGTAATAAATAACCTTTTCCGTTAAACCGTCATCTTTTTTTTCAAGCTGAATAAAGCAGCGATGATCGTCCGTGACCACCGACTGTTTGCAAACGATGCATTTGGTCGCTGAGCAAACGTGCTGTGAACCATTTCCACCCATGGCGATGTAATAAGTTTGTTTACAAATGGTGCATTTTTTAAACATTTCGCAAGGAGAAACTAACCTGTTTGCTTGAGGCCTGAAAACAGGTGTTTTGTGAGTTTGAAAACATATTACATTTTGGCATATTCGATTACAATCAGAACATGTGATGAGAGACGTTTCTGTTCGTTTGCATAAATCGGTATTACACACGCGACAGAACCATTTACAGTGATGTCCGTTTATGTTATTATAAGCGGAAAAGCACCATGAACAAAAATATTTGGCTCCTAAGAAACCTTTAATATTTTTTATGCCGTAATAATGTTGATTGAGTAGCAAAATGAACAACGGATTTGTTCGATCGCTAAAATCTGTTTCAAATTTAGAAATGATTCTGTCGGATCTGTAAAAAATGATTATTTTTCTTTGAACAATATTTTCAAATCGAATCACGTCGCTAAATGAAACGATTGATTGCTCCTGAAGCCCTGCCTGTTGATGAATATTTTTAGCCACATTCATTAATTCTGTATCTCTCGCTGAGGGATTTAACAGGCCGGCTATGCTTAGCGCAAAACACAACGGCTGATTGGCCTCTGGAGGACAAATGAGATGGTTTCGTTTTTTATTGACTAATTCGTGATCCAGAATGGTTTCGATTTTTCGTTTCCCACCGCCGGACGGATTATTTATCACTTGCAGTCTGAAATTAAATTCGTTGTCAGCCTCTAATGCTTCATTTGATTGGACTAACAGATCCAGTAAATACTGAAGCTGATTTAACATATTTGATCCGTCATAATTAAAATTAACGTGGTGTGTCGTGTGTAAAGTATTAATTTCAAACTGGACTCTATCGTTGGGACGCGCGATCTGGCTTCCTCTTTCAGCAAACCTGTTTAATATTTCCATCAGATTAATATAAAACTCGGCTGGGTCGTTGATTGCTTGAAAAGACACTCTCTCTCTAATTTCACGCTGGTTAAAAGCTGCGTTTACGCTCCCTCCGATCTGCTGGTGTTCTATTTGTCTCAATATTTCGTTTATTGCTTCTGATGAAGGCGAATCTGAATTTGCTAGAATTTGATCGACCTCGTTTACGTGCTGCTGGTGTTCTATTTGTCTCAAAATTTCGTTTATTGCTTCTGATGAAGGCGAATCTGAATTTGCTAGAATTTGATCGACCTCGTTTACGTGCTGCTGGTGTTCTATTTGTCTCAATATTTCATCTACAGCTTCTGATGAAGGCGAATCTGAATTTGCTAGAATTTGATCGACCTCGTTTGAAACGGCTTGGGATGCTAAGATCTCACTATCTGAAGCTAATTCATCTACTTCACTCAGTCCGCTTAAATCAAACCAGTCATTTAACACCAAATTATCGGCCTCCTCCACTGAGGGATTTTGGCTGGCTAAAATTCTATCTAACAAATCTACATTTAATTCATCATCTACTTCGAGCAAATCTGAAAGGTTATCAAACCAATTTTCACTCATGATACAAAAGACATTAATAACCTACTAAAAATGAAGAAAAAAATCTGCGTCCTCCTTTTACAGAGCCAGCACTTGTTGGACCACTTCGACCAGGCCTGAGTTGACCTGCAGCAATAAGTAGGCCATTTTCATCCTGTTTAATCTCTGAAGTGGTGAAAGACGAATGTTTTTCTTTTTCTTCAGTCGTTTTTCTGATGAAAAAAATAAATAAAAATAAATAAAATGAACGAGCTTTTAATAAATTATATATAAAATTTAACTTACTCTGTACAGGTGCAGGAGGTGGTGCGTTCTCTTCCTCTTCATCTGAAAGGATAAAAAACATCTTTTTTACTTCAAATTTAATATACTATGCGGAGCTTTTTGTGAAACAGCTTACCGGCTGGCTGCTCAGGACCACGTTCAGCGGTTTCAGAGTCGCTGTCGGATTGTTCTGAAAGAATAAAAATAATGAAAAAATATGAACGAATCATCTTTGAAGTAAATAACCACCTTTTTATATATCTCTTACCCTGTGCAGGAGAAGGGGGAGGAGGAGGAGGAGGAGGAGATGGAGGAGGTGTGGGCGGAGATATTGAAGCGGCAGTCGAATGTTGTTCTGAAAGGATAAAAAAACAACGGTAAATGTGTACGAGTCATCTTTGACTTATTAATCAGTTGTTTTTTTATCGTTACCATCCGTCCGCGCATGAGAAGGGGCTGGAGGTGGTGGGGGCTGAGATATTGGGGGTGCGTAGGCCGTCGGACGTTGCTCTGAAGAATAAAAACGATAAATATGAACGACACATCTCTGACTTATTAATCGCTATTTTGTAATCACTTACCAGCTTCGAGGATCGTCTGCGGCGTGACGGTCCTGTAACGAACAGCTTTCACGCTCGCATTCCCGTGTGATCTGACGGTATGGCTGGGCTGATACGAATGTAAGACGGTTCGGCTGGTGGATGGAGGCGTGGTTGGGTAAAAGTTATCACTTCCGGGGTAAGGTTGAACCCCCTCCTTTTCTGTAAAATGAGATATTTCTCAGTTGAAGAAAAGAACGTTACGTATATATTTATAAAATCCACTCACTCAGATTCTCGACCGCGCGATTAATTTTAGACAAATCATCCAGGGGGACCGGTACCGGAGTTTTACAAGTTAATTCCTCAATAGGAATTTCTTCCCACTCGCCGTCCGATATGACAATAGCGTCTGAAAATAAAGATGTTAAACCAGAAAGAGAAAAAAAGATTTGCGTCTTGAGTTAAAAACTTACCCGTCATCTTAGCTTGTTACACCTCAAATCATGACTCCGAAAATGCGCTTTTACATTTTATACAGCTGTTTAAAAAAATCATGAATAGAAAACGGTTGCGATTGGTCGAAAAAAAAATGTTTATAAACAATACAGAGTCATTTGCTTTGTTGTATAGGTAGACAAATGTATGAATGGTTGTTTAGAGTTGTGTGTGTGTGTGTGTGTGTGTGTGTGTGTGTGTGTGTGTGTGTGTGTGTGTGTGTGTGTGTGTGTGTGTGTGTGTGTGTGTGTGTGTGTGTGTGTGTGTGTGTGTGTGTGTGTGTGTGTGTGTGTGTGTGTGTGTGTGTGTGTGTGTGTGTGTGCTCGTATCCATTGCTTCATCAAAACTCCCTGGAGCAGAAATAAAAAAAACCTTTACGATCCAAAAAATAATACCGGACCGTTTTTGTACCGGACATTTCTTCCTGAAATCTCATCATGTCTCAATTCGAACGTTGTTTTTAGCAGAGGAAGGCTATATTCAAAACACGTATCCATCGCTTCTTCTTCTTATTCTTATTCTTCGCTCATGTTTTGGTTAAAATGTAGCAGCTCTTTCACTCGTGTGTAAATCCGTTTACGGCTTGCATGTGCCTTAGTTTAACTATTCTGGGAGGTATGACATTAAAGGTTTGACCAGAGGTACGTCTGCTCTGAGACTTTACTAATCCACCCCTCCCAAAAAACAAACCTCATAAACAGCTTTTTATTTATTTCAGCTGTTATAGGTCCTACAAAATGGATCAAATCTTTTCTCTGAGGCAGGAAGCAATGTGTGTGTGTGTGTGTGTGTGTGTGTGTGTGTGTGTGTGTGTGTGTGTGTGTGTGTGTGTGTGTGTGTGTGTGTGTGTGTGTGTGTGTGTGTGTGTGTGTGTGTGTGTGTGTGTGTGTGTGTGTGTGTGTGTGTGTGTGACAGTGAAAACAAAATGTGACACTAAAGGCAGGAGGCGATGGTTAAGCTTTCACCTAAATAGCTCTTTGAAACAATAGCAAGTCATTTGCTTTTGTGAATTGTTACCATGCCGACTTGTTTAGAATGAACCAGAACTTTGTTTTTAAAACTTTCCCGCCACTCTTTCAATTCAGCCCACCTGCAAAAAAGTAAGTACTTTGCTTTTTGTGTGTTGTTTCTGTGACGATTTGGTTCAGCCAGATCTTTGTTTTAAAACTTACCGCCACCTGCAGAACAAAAAGGAAGTCATGTGCTTTGTCAGAAGTCGCTGGCCGTGCAAAATTGTTTAGAATGAACTTTAAGAAAGCTCAACAGATCTTAAAAAGCATCACGCTGAGGTAAGGATCAACTTTTGTTCTTATAGGCTTGAGTATGCAGGCTGGTTTACAACAGAACCATAAATGGTTTAGGATGGCAATCCATTGCTTTTCTGAAGTGAGAGAAATGTATGAATGGTGTTTAGAGTTGGTAACAGAGAGAGTCAGACATTTTCTGAAAGGGGAAAGTGCTTTAAATGTGTGTGTGTGTGTGTGTGTGTGTGTGTGTGTGTGTGTGTGTGTGTGTGTGTGTGTGTGTGTGTGTGTGTGTGTGTGTGTGTGTGTGTGTGTGTGTGTGTGTGTGTGTGTGTGTGTGTGTGTGTGTGTGTGTGTGTGTGTGTGTGTGCGCTTACAGCCTCTGATGATTCATCCATTATTTGAGGTGCTGCTGGACAGAGAGTTTTACACAATAGTTTTAGTTCTGGTCAAAAAGTGTCTGTGAGCTGCATGTAAATAACACATTTAAACACAAAGTTTAAGACTGAACATACGAAATCCAACGTGAACATCTCAAAGAGAGTATTAATGACATAGACAATGTGTCACTCTGAAGAGTTTGTGTGTGTTCAGCAAAAGGCTGCAAAAGTTCTTGCATTGACTTCAGCTTATGCCACCCACTCGAGAGCAAGCAGACCATCCCATTTGCTTTGTGAGTTGTCGACTAAAAGCGTCACACTGAGGTAAGGATCAACTTTTATTCTTATAGGCTTGAGTATGCAAGGGTGGTTTACAACAGAACCATAAATGGTTTAGGATGGCAATCCATTGCTTTTCTGAAGTGAGAGAAATGTATGAATGGTGTTTAGAGTTGGTAACAGAGAGAGTCAGACATTTTCTGAAAGGGGAAAGTGCTTTAAATGTGTGTGTGTGTGTGTGTGTGTGTGTGTGTGTGTGTGTGTGTGTGTGTGTGTGTGTGTGTGTGTGTGTGTGTGTGTGTGTGTGTGTGTGTGTGTGTGTGTGTGTGTGTGTGTGTGTGTGTGTGTGTGTGTGCTTACAGCCTCTGATGATTCATCCATTATTTGAGGTGCTGCTGGACAGAGAGTTTTACACAATAGTTTTAGTTCTGGTCAAAAAGTGTCAGTGAGCTGCATGTAAATAACACATTTAAACACAAAGTTTAAGACTGAACATACGAAATCCAACGTGAACATCTCAAAGAGAGTATTAATGACATAGACAAATGTGTCACTCTGAAGAGTTTGTGTGTGTTCAGCAAAAGGCTGCAAAAGTTCATGCATTGACTTCAGCTTCTGCCACTCACTCAAGAGCTAGCAGACCATACCATCTTGTCTGCTACTACAAAAACAGATTCTTTAACTTTGAGGAAACGTACAACCATTTCATAGGTACTTGACAGTGTGTGGGGCTGTCATTCACAACAGTTAGGCCGCACTCATCCACTGTCAGTGAGCCATTTTTTTCTTAGAGCTCGGCTTTTCACCATTCGGACAGATCTGAGCTTTTAAAGAGTTATACACAATAGAATTACACTCAGAAGGGAGGGGGGCTGTGGGAACCGATGGGCTATCACAAAAAGAAACTTCACACGCCATTACACACATTAGCCTATGACGTGGGGATCATGGACATCTGGACACGTTCAACAATATGCCATTGATGATGCGGCGTGGGGGGTCTAGCCCATCTGGACAATTAACAATACACATGTCCATTTGATTAATGATACGGAAGGGGGGGCAAAGATTGAACAATACACCTGTCCATTTGATTAATGATAGGAAGGGGGGGCAAGGTCAAGGGTCAAATGAACAATAGGAATGAAAGGTCAAAGAACAATAGACCTGTCAAAAAGTTTGACGAAAGGTGTCTTATAATACTCTCTATTGTTCTAGTAAAATACAGCTGCAGGTTTGGAAACAATATCTCTTTGAATGATTTGTCTAATACATTGATTTGTGGCTTTATCACTCACTAAAGGACAGATGTTACAGATGAATATGCTACCGGGATTTAGTTCTGGATAATACAGTTTCTACCCTTAGGAGCAGACACCAATAACCTTCCCACTCCATCTGGTATTGCATCGAAAACTACATCATATTCTCTTGGAGTGACAGGAAAATTATAAACAAACAAAAATTCCTTATAAGAAAATAATTGACCATCATCATTCAGTAATTGACTCACAAGTAAAATATTTTTATCAACCCATTTCTGAATATATAATGATTAGTTCTTAAATTTAATATCCTGATTGTTCCAAATGAGATATTTACGGGGAGAAAAGTTGTGAGAGTATATCATTAACCAAGATGATGAGACTTGACTATGAAAGTTGGAGAGTTTAATCGGTAATTTTGAGATATTGTAATTGTCGCGAGCGTGTACTTTTATTGGTTCCATTAGAACAGGGGTGGGCAATCCCAGTCCTCGAGGGCCGCTGTCCAGCAGGTTTTACTTGTTTCTCTGCTTAAACACACCTGGTTTGAATCTACTAGTGATTAACAGGCTGCTGCAGAGCCTGATGAGCTGCTGAACAGGTGATTCATCCTGGAATCAGGTGTGTTGGGGCAGGTAAACAACTAATGGGCCATTCCCATCTGTACCGGGTCGGCCCGGGCCGGGTAGCGTAGGTTGTTTACATATCTGGGTGGCCTGGTATTTTTCCGGGCCAACCAAGGCTCATTCTCAGCCCTCTTCTGGAGGGGGTCTGCTTCAGGCCGACCAGGGCCAACACACCCACTGCTGACAGCAAATTCACACCTTCCGTTAGAGCAAGCCTCTGATTGGTGGGTAGAATCAGCCCACATGGGCTTAAGGCAAGGATGTGTGGAATCAACCGGGCCAGGCTGGGGCCGACTGGGGCTACCCGGCCCGGGCCGACCCGATACAGATGGGAATGGCCTATAAAACCTGCTGGATAGCGGCCCTCGAGGACCAGGATTGCCCACCCCTGCGTTAGAACCTTAGAATACGCTGCGTTTTCAGGGAGGTTGAGGCCGCAGGTGAGTTTTATCGTACTGACCCTGGTTTGGACTCCCTAATTTAGAACTCGTTTTCTAGTTTAAGGTGAAATGAAAATTGACGTACTTGTTCTTCTGTGATAACACACTTCCCTTTTAACTCTCCCGTTATTTAGTGGTTTTAAATACTAGGGCGGAAGTTTAATACTGGAGGCCATCCAGGCATCTATTATTTGGGTCCTATCAGGATTAATTTGCGCCTCTGTCAGCAATGTGGGCGGTGGTAGCTAGAAAATGATTCCTGTTAGTTGATCAGGCTAACATGGATTTATCAATTAATCTAATCAATCCACCCTTTGAAATGGTTCCTTCCCACGCTAAACCGAGACTTTTTCACACTTGCAGAACAGAGCCTGTTTGAACCATCGAACCATTATGATCTATAGTCCTTATGGTGTCCCGCTACCGAGGAGGAGGGGAGACTTGCTCCCATTACCTAAGGTATCTTTTCTTAATCTGTCACAGCCTGAAAACAAGTCCTGAAGCACAGGAACAAGTAGTTCAAGGTGGCTTACCTCTCCTTTAGGTCTGGTCGGGGCTCCCAACTCTAAAGGCTAAAAGAGACCTTTAAGAATCGAGAACGAGGATTCTTTTTCCCAAAAATTTATTTCAAAATTAAAAAATACACAAAAGGGTAAAAATAAGATTAACCAATCCCCTTAGGAGGATGCTGTTACTAAAATCTCCCTGAGAATAACTGGTCGACTTGTGTCAACACTAACTGTTACACACTAACACTCACACACACCAACTCTGTCTAAGTCCAAGTCTAAGCTCTGTGTCTAAGTCGGGAGAGGCCTTCAGCTTTGCTACCAAGGATCTTCCAGTAATGGATAAATCTCTTTGAAGCCAAAGATTAAATTTATGTTGTATTGCAGTTATAAGAGGGTCAAAGGAAGTTGTAGATCCGTGATGAAACAAGTTTTCTTGAGCACTAAGCAGCAGTGCGAATCACACCAGGCTCCATATTGAAATGTAGTTTTTAATGATTTTGCTGCTTCTATTCATTCATGACTGTAGAGCCCTCTCACGTGACACAGCGTTGGGATGAATGTGCTTTATGACAATAAAGATTTTAATTCCTTAGAGATAATCAGGTCTTAATATATCAATGCAGTGCCTTTACTTTATTACTTAGATGACTTAATATGACGTATAAAATCACTATTGAGCGATCTCACCAGCTTTATCCTCGACACTTTCAGAATGAGCCGTTTCAGGGCGCTGTCCCTTTAAGGACCAACTTCACTCTTTTTGACACATTTGCGATGGTCTAAAATGTGTTTTCTCTGGGGGGGGGGGGGGGGGGGGGATCTTGTGCTCCTGTTTCAGGAGGTAGAAATTAGAGCTGCATACAGAAGGATCTGGAGTCCATTTCCTGATATTCGGACATCTTGCCTCTGATTGGCTAACAGCAACACGACTCTGCCACTGACTCAGTTTGCTTTGCAGCATTGATGTTTTATCTCCACAAATAACACAAGCCAGGAGGAGTTCTGCTGTGTGGTGGAGTTGCTAATGCTAACGATTAGCTTCTACTAGCAGAGCTGCACTCTGCTCTCTCCCAGACGCTAAACCAACAACAGCTTTCCTGTCACAAGCCAAAGAATGAGTCCATGAATGCTAATTTAAAGAGTGACATCATAGATCTGTGTTGCTGTTTCTGACTCAAACGTTTCCCTGTCGATTTTCTTTTGGCTCCTAATGCAGGAAGTAGAGGTAGAAGGTTACTTTCATGTTTAGCCTGCATGTGAAACTAAGGCCTTGAGTATATACTTGTTGTTTAACGACGCATATTCAAAATGGCTCCTTTGCATAGCTTTGATCTGAAGCATCATTTGTGCATGCAATGATTCGTTAGTTACATCTTACATTACCATAAAAGGTGAGATTCCATAGAAAATATGAAATATCAATCTGATGGATCTTTGAATATTACTTTAATCAGAAGATTGGAACTTTTTATTGCAGGGATTAGATAACACTTTGTATTAACCCAGAGACAAGAGAGAGAGAGCGAGACTACTTTTAAAGTTTAAGAAGATTTATTTCTAAACAAATTAAACAAGGCTGACTAACTCTAAACACTCTGTGTGATGAATGGATCTAGGTGTGAATGAGGCAAGATGGTGGTGTAATGTGGAATGTTATCAGAACTCTCGTTTCCGGAGAAGCCTTAGTTCTGTGTGGGAGCGAATGGTTTGCTCTAAACTACAGTCGGAGTTTCAAAAACCACATTCAGATGCTATCTTGCCGCTCTACATACCCTTGACGGAGACCTCCGTTGTAGATCCAGAATGTCAGGTCCTCGGACCCCCTTTGGTACCGGAGCCGATGAAACAGCGTCCGGTACGACAGACTAGTCTTGGAATGCCTCCAGGTAAGCAACAGGTGTTTGACAGCGTCGGCGGGACCCTGAAGGGTCCGTGAGTTCAGCTGTACTCTGAACCGCGTTGCATTCAGGTGCAACTCGCAACAGGTTTTATTATCCAGCTTGTCAAGGGTCTTTGTGGTTAAAAAGTGACGAGTGGCCGGCTCGAAACTCTAGAACGTTTGAACTGAGTTAAGGGTGACGTGGGAGTTAGTTTTATAATCCAGATGTTTTGATTTATGGTCGAATCAGAATGTGACAACAAACTAAACACCGCACAGATCACGCCACGCGTCAGAAAGGAAAGCTCTGATTGGAGAGACAAAAGGAATGTGTCATGTGGTTTTAACATGACTTGTGATAGGAGTGTCTAGTGCTTCTGTACCAAGTTAATTCTTATACAAAACTACTGATTACAGTATTATAATTCATGTAATTAACATGGTCATTTCACAGATTGATTGAACATTAGGCTTCACATGATTATTTGGACTAACAAAGTTATTTGATTATTATTTAAAGAAAAAGAGTTCTTGGTCTTCTTTCTTGTGCTGTAGGGGGTGGGGTGGGGGGGGGGGGCAACTAGCTAGTGAACACAGTTTAGATGCAGAGGCATCAAAGGCCTTGAACAATATCTCAAGGAGATTAGTTCTTCATGAGGAGAGAGGTGAGGTGACCTTTAGGTGGAAAACAGTCCCTTCATGACGCTACATGCACATCCTCAGAAATGAATGCGACGCATTTGAAAGCTGCTAAATACGAGTGGCCAGTAGGTGGAGACAAAACGAGCCAGACACACTCACTATGGTCACTCCGCCTCTTAAAACAAGCAAGCAATTATTATTTACATTCATTAGCTAATGGATAACAGATCAGACACCTTCATATTTTCATCTTTGTTTCTCTCTCTAGAAATCCTTGTCAGTGACCAGATTTGCCAGAACCTGCACAGGAACAGCGAGGCCGGGTCGAGACCTGTGCCAGACATCGCAAAGATTAAAGATGAACTGGAGGAAGTGTGCATCAGCGGGGAACAGCAGCAGGAAACCAGCGCCAAGTTGACTTCAGTTTGTGATCCAAGTGTCTCCAGTCCTCAGCCTCAGCCTTTGGACCAAGAACAACAGAGTCCATCCACCAGAGATCTACCATCCAACACTTCAAATAAAGATGGAAAACCAGGATCTAACAAAGAGACCTCCACAACGTCGGTGGCTCACAGTGAGCAACCTGGAAACTCTTGTGAAACTGAAACTCAGCAGCACGTAACTGATGATGAGGAAGATGCAACAGCTACATGTGATGATGGGAACAAGAAGAGCTCGGCAGTGAGTCAGGAGGTACGTGTGTCTGTTCCTAAAGAACCTGATGAAGTAAATACAGAAAACACAGCCTCACACCAGCGTAGGGAGCAGTTTTCAGATGGTGATGGCTCACCAGCCAGCGTTAAAGAGCTAAAGCAGTGGAAGGAAAGTAATTTAGTAACTCGGACTGAGAAGGTATCAGCCACAGCTGATGAGCAAGAGCAAAACACGATGCAGACAAGATATGATGACACCACAGCCAGTGTTAATGGAAATGAGAAGACTCAAAATGAAAGATTGTCTTCATCTGGAAGTGTTCCAGCGTCCCCGGTTCAAGGGGACGTTGGTATGGATGGTAGACCAGCCTCCACAGAAATGGAGCCGACTTCAAACTGGGAAAATGAAGAATGGATCTGTAGGAGTTTAGAGCACACTCTAAATGAGAAAAGGAGCGATTTAGAAGTATTGTCAACCCTGTGGACTGAGCTAACGTGTAAGGAGAGAAGTCAAAGCCAAGATCCGACTTTAACCGAACAGGAAGAGCAAACGCCGCACCACAGAATCACATCAGTTACTTCAGAACAAACACCAAGCAAGGAGAGCAACGAAGCAAAAACCGAGCTTGAATCTAAAAAGACAGATAACTACATGAAGGTGTCGGATAGAAAATCTGAAATGACGAAAAATAAGTCAGAAGATAGAAAAACATCAAGTTCAAGGAAAGAAACGCTCAAAAAACGGGGTCATTATCGCAGACCAGAGGCAAACCAACCAAATAACGAAGGTCCAGATGAGTCGAGTGGAAAACTGGAAGAGGACAAAGATGGTTTGAGTTTAAAATCATCACAAGACGAGCAGAAGGATGGAGCTGCAGCTTCAACTGGAGACCATGAGATGACACAGAAAGATTTCAGAGAGAAAACAGCCAAAAGCAAGGAGACCGGGCCTCTTGGTAGATGTTCTGGTGGGAAAAAGGCATCCAGGAGTTCTAAACCCAAAAATGAATTGATTAATTGTAGCTCCGACTCAAAGAAAAGCAAAGAAACAACTTCAAAAAGGAAACCTAGTGAAAGGAACAAGCAGGCTGCATCACGTAAGAGACTCAACGAGAGTCAAAGCTCAGATTCGGCTCAGAAGAAACATAAAGATGGAAATTCCTCAACTAGAAATGAAGCAAAGGAGCAAAACCACAGAAGCAACGCAGCAGTAAAAGAACACACAGAGCCGTCGCCTGACGGGGCCCATGAGGAGTCATCCGGCGAGGAGAAGAGGGAAAATCCTTTCAAGTGTGACACGTGTGCTAAAGTGATGTCAAATTTTAATAACTATAAATTCCACATGAAATCTCACACGGTTGAGAAGACTTTCAAGTGTGGAACCTGTGGGAAGATGTTCAGGGAGAGCTGGGACCTGAATAAGCATTTGGTGATCCACTCCGTCGAGAAACCGTACAAATGCGACATCTGCGGGAACGGGTTCAACCGGCGCTACAACCTGGACCTGCACGCTCGGATCCACACGGGCGAGAAGCCCTACGTGTGCAGCACCTGTGGGAAAAGCTTCAGCTCGTGTGTGAACATGAAGAAGCACACGAGGGTTCACACCGGGGAGAAGCCCTACACCTGCAAGGACTGCGGCAAAGAGTTTGCAGATTCCTCCACTTTCAAGAACCACCTGCGAGTGCACACGGGGGAAAAGCCCTTCAAGTGCACCTTCTGCAAGAGGCAGTTTGCTACCAGGACGACGTTGAAACGACACACCCGAACACACACGGGCGAGAAGCCGTACAAGTGCACCGTGTGCGACAAAATGTTCGGTTACAGAACAGACTTGAAGGGTCACATGAGGATGCACACCGGGGAAAAGCCGTATAAGTGCGGCACGTGTGGGGATCGGTTCTCCAACTGGTCCAAACTCAACAAACATAAACGCGTTCACGCAAGTGAACCACAGAGCTTCACAGAATAACACCCGTGTTTGTCCTAATCAGATCAAAGATTCTGCATGTAAACATGTCAATCGGAATGTTCTTGTGACCTGGAGGATTGGATACTTAGATCCTAAACCGTAGGTTATAACCCTTAGTGAAACATAGCAGAGGCTTGTTCACAAGTTAACATTTTTATTCACAAGACACATCACCAACACGGATGAGATTTACTGAAAACCAGGTCGGGATAAAAGAGATGGACTAAAACTAAACGCGAGAGGAGGGAGGAGCGACGACCATGCTGGCCCTGGGACTACACACACAACGCCAGCCAACTACTATTTAAAAGCACGAGGCCGCTGTAGGGAACCGACACAAAAGACAATAACATAAAGGAAAACACCCGTGCTCCCTTTAACTAAAGCTCATACACACGCCCCCAGAAGTGAGTAAACCCCCCCGACAAACCCCTACAGCGGATACCCTAAAGGAAGCTAACTACCATCCCAGAGACAGCAATGCCATCACTGCTAACCATCAGTCTCACGAGAACGTTTTCCTTCCCTCCCCCTCTACCGAAGATGACTAAAAATGGAACCGGAAATGAATAAAAGTTTGATGACAGAACTGGAAAACAGTAGCAGGCTAAGATCTCATCGGCCTTCCGCTTGCCAACGTAGATTCCTGGTTTTGTTCACCCCTCAGTCCTGCTCACGCACTTAGCTGCACCCAAAGCGAAGCATTCGGCTTTGTTTCGGCTAGACCCCAGCTGCCCTAATTATAGCGGCCCTCTAATGACACACCTGGCCTCTCCTACATCAGCGGCATGACACACACGACCAGACCCGGTTACATTCTGATCCGATTTGGCCTGATCGGAATGAAATTTCAATCCGTTTGAGAGAGGTGGTTTTGTTACGTCCCCGACAGGTGTCCCCGACAGGTGTCCCCGACAGGTGTCCCCGACAGGTGTCCCCGACAGGTGTCCCCGACAGGTGTCCCGACAGGTGTCCCCGACAGGTGTCCCCCACAGGTGTTGTTAAAAAGTGAAGGATGGGGGTAACATAAGGATGGGGGTAACATAAGACTGGACAGTGGGTATTAAAAGGGGTTTATTGTAACAAAAAGGTTCTAAAAACAAGCAAACAGAACTCTAAAAGGTTAACATCACAACAAATTATCAACTATAAAAACACCTGGTTAGAACTTTGTTAAAAGCTTAACCGAACAGAAGGTGTTGTAAAACCCCGAAGTTGATAAAAGTTCTAAAACAATATACTGACTAAAACACCTGGTAAAAACTTACTTTAAAAAGCTTTGCCACAACGAAGGTGTTTAAAACCGAGGTCAGTCAAATTGCCACAAACAAAGTTGACCTTAGAACCAAACTGCAAAAAAAGATCCCATTGGATCATCCAAAAACTTCTCACTAAGAGTTAAAAACCAAACCAAAGTTTAAAACTCATCCACAGGAATCTAAACGAAAGGGGTTGAAACCGAACCAAGAACCAGGAGGACAGCAGAACCCCTGCACTGCTGCCTCCCAGACTGCTGAAGGCAGGTGTTTGCTCATCAGGAAGATTCAGCTCAGCTGTGCTCCTCAGCAGCCCGGGAGAGAGGAGGAGGAGGAGGGGCGGTGTCAGGCTGTTTCACCAGAGCTGGGTGATCCTGGCTCCTGCTCCTCCCTGGCCAGACTGGCAACCGGAACACCGATCATCATTCCAAGTGACGTGCACGTACACAGTCATTCGTGCAACAGCTAGCGGGCCTCTCCATCCTCATTTAGACGGCCTGACTTAAATAAATGACGGGCTAATTAACAAGCGCCGGCTTTTAAATTTGATGGAAAGCCATCCCTGTTCCTGTAATCTCTAATCCAGAACTTGCATTTCATGAACCTAACCCGCGGACCAGCTGATCAGGAGGCAGAGACGAGGATAACCCTCCCTTATTTTAATATTGTCAACAATAAAATGCAGCAAAGCACAAATCTGCAGTTATTCACTGAAGAAAACTTAGTTTTTATGAGCAAAATAAAAACATTACAAAGCAGGAAGAATAGTTTTTTTTAAATGTTTTTACATTTTTCATTTCGTTTCATGATGTTTGTTTACATTTTGTTTTCCGGGAAGGAAAACTCTGCACATGCCCAACTTATTTAATCTGACTGAATAATTGGTGTCTATAAACTCTTCAGGTAGTGTGCATGTAAACAGAGATTCAGGAGTTCCAATCAACCAAGATTTGAATCGGATTGGGGAAATTTTGCGTGCGTAAACGTTGCTAATGTGTATCTGTGATGATGTCTTTGTAACCTCTAACCGTAAAAGTTGGGTCTAGAGTACACAGGTTCCCAAAAATGTTTATGTAACTCATCCATTTAGCTTGAAATTAGGAATGCTTAGGGGTGTATCCTTATGATTGACAGGTATGTTAGCGCTGGCGCTAGCTTCTTGTTTGGTCCATGGAAGGCCTCAGCCTCGGCTTCATGTTAAAAGTGTTACACCCGAGAAAGCAGAGGGCAGCAGAGTCGCTCAGCCGCGGTTTTCTGGATAAAAGCCCTTCTGGGCTTCCATTCAACACGCAGTTACGCGTTCATTTGGACTCGGTTGTTTTGTTTGCTTTTTTTTTTTTTTTTGCACAAAAGGTTTTTAAGAGCTGGTTTTTGAATGTTTTTCACAGATGAGATTTAGGTCTGTGGAGTTTGAATCCACTTTACTTGAAAAAGCAGAAAATACATCAGGAAACCATCGGCGTTGTTCTAAATGTCAATAAAACGATGATTAATACGTTACAATCTTTGCTTTTTTAGTATAATAGTTAAAAGTTTTAGCTTGAAATATTTGACAATCGTGTTAAAAATATTCAAAAATTTATCAAAAAGTATTTCAACAACTGAAGGATGTAATTAAAGTTGAGTAAAATATTATTTTTCAGAAAAAAATGTTGAAGTATTTCGAATAATTGGCTTTTTACAGTTGATGGTAAGTTTTACCATCTGGAAGGTTTTGATCATTCTCCTTTTGAAAGTGCAGACGTTGGGTTAAGTTAGGAAAAGTCCAGCTGTGTTTTATCTCATCAGGAAAAAAAAACAGTGTTTTACTCGTTGAAGAAGTCGTGTTTCAGTTTTTTTCTTGTTTCAAAATAGAAACTTAACCGAGCCGTGGATGAAGCTTATGAAGGTGTCAAAAGGTGTTAAAGTATTTAAACTCAATTATTTTAAGAGATTATTACAATTCAGTTGAATTTCCTTTATATTGTGTGCATATTTATTATTGGGCCACAAACCCGTATAATCATTTAAAATAGTCATGCTTTTGCATCAGTCTGCTCCATTTAATCATCTGCCTGCTTTAAAGCCTCTAAAAAAGTTTGTGACCACACATTTTGTTTAGTTTGAAAAATGCTTTTTTTCTTATTCCCATTTCCTGTAAGCTTTTTATTTTCCAAAATAAAAAAAAACAAATGATAAGATAATGAAGGCATGCTGATACTGTTTTGTAATTTTTCTTCAGACATGTTTGTTGATTTTGTGTTTAGATAAAAAGTTTGAGACGTCTCAAAGGAAGGCCGTACTGTAATTGTTGGCCCTTTTCATTGTGCTGTGCTGAATTACATTCGGACTGTCCTTTTTTAAAAATACAATTAAATAAATCCATTAACACACACACACACACACACACACACACACACACACACACACACACACACACACACACACACACACACCTTTAAAGTGCATTTACATGGTAGTCCTACTATTTTAAGACCCCCATTAATTTTAGGTGGTATAATTTATTTTGAAGGAATCTACAGGAAGTGACCGTCTTGTTTTAGCATTATGAGCCCTGCCTGTAGTAATAGTTTTGGTCCAGCAGAGGGCGGAAAAATCCTTAACCTGCAAGGACAAAGGATTGAGTTATCATGTTTCCACCCAAGTGGCCTGGATAATACATGTGAATCCCTCACAGACAGAATAAGTGGTCATCAGTCAAACCCAATGTCAGATTACAAGTAAAGAAATGAAAAGTCAAGTTTATTTTTTATTGTTTATTCTTTGTCTAAATAAACTTTTACAAGACTTTCTTAGTGGAAACACTTCCTCTAAATTCTTCCAGACTGTTTAGTTGCCTTGAAAGGATGGGGGCTTTGCACCCTCTGTGCGCACATCACTTCCTTGTTTCGAGTGAGGATGGTACGCCATTTCCTGGGAGCACCATCACAACTCACCACCAAGTGCTCCTGGCAGGAGGGAGGCTGTTCTGGTGGTGAGCTCTGACCGCGCTCCCAGCCAGCCAATGACACGACAGCAACAAGTCGGTTGACGCTGTGAGGAAGACTGAAATAAATGCAGCTGAAACTGTCGGCAGGTATAACATCTCTGAAACCACGTTTATCTTACTGAATGAAAAAAGAAATGCATTACAAAAACAAAACAAACTTATTTAATGAATTAATCACGCTGTGCCTTAACATCACATCCTATATTTACAGTGCAGGCTATGGATTCTTGTAAGGTTAGAGAAAACATTTTGCAGGTCACTCACTACACAGATGAGAACTATATACATTCACATTGTTATCAGTCTGATTCTGGACTGAGCTCAGCAACTGCTTGCCCAGGTTTTCACCGAGGGACCGTTTTCATCATTCACCAAAAGACAGGCGACAGCAAAGAGCTGGTTAATATTACCTGTGATTGAAAAGGAGATCACGGTGCTGAATATTTTGTGTTCTTTAACCCTGCGAATCACACGCTCAACATGGACTCTCAGTCTCACAATGGACCGTGTCTTTCTGATCTCTGGCCTAGACAGCTGAGCTCTCTGCGACAGAAACGTGGGTATGTGGACGTTGCATGGAACAGTCTTCAACAAGGAAACCCTTGTCCACCATGATGGCCATTGATGGGTTCAGGAGGGCCACAATGCCTGACTGCTTTAAGATCTTTTTATCACAGGTGGCACCTTGATAAAGAGAAGACACAAATGTCGCTGCACCATGAGGGGCTATCCCAGTCAACCCTACAGTGTGATTTATAGTTTGAAAACACCTCGCTCTGGAGGAGGAGGGAATTTGGGGTTTGGCATCGCAGTTCTGTGCAATCTAAAATGACCCGAGTGTCAGCGTAACCCTGGAACACACCTGAGAGGTGAGCTTTCACAGAGTCTTCATCTAACCAGATATTCACAGCTCCTAACACAGTATAAAGGAAGCTGGCCCAGGTGTTAATACGACTAACAGTTGACCGATGGAGTCTAAATCTGTGGGCCAAATCCTTTAGTGCGAGTCCCAGTGACAGGTAGATCATAAACAGGAAGAACTCATCAACTGGTTGAAGAACCTGGAAAAGATGAAAAACATTACCATCCATCCATTTTCAGCCTCAGGTCGCAGGGGCAGCAACCTAAGCAGAGAGGCCCAGACGTTCCCTGGCCAGCCGAGAGAGTCTGTCCAGCGTGTCCTGGGTCTTACCTTCATTCTGACTATCAAAATGTATTTGATTCATGGCTTGATTTGAAAATGATGACAAGCTTTGTAAGGACAACAACAATAAAACATTTACCGTTGCACTGGCAGAGTGAGGGACCTGATCAGTCCTCGCTACACTTGATGCTCTTGCCACCCGTGTCATACTGAGGGTAGTTGGCTCAATTTGGTCCCAGAAGCCCATCAGATGAGCGTGACTTGCAAATCTGTGGAACATATGAATTAGATAGATTACTGATCATTACTCAGATCACATCTAATGACCCAAAAAAGCTTTGCATAACTAGAAATACTCAACATTTAACTGCAAATATGTAGCCATATGATCTTAATTGTCATATCAGTTATACAACTCTGGGCTATTTAAGAGCTATGACCAGTAGGATTCTCATGTCAGTTCTCTTGTTGGCTCTTCCTTCTTCCATCTCAGGAACGTTGCTAAGCTGAGTCCCATTCTGTCCCGCTCTGAACTTGAGACAGTTCTCCACACCTTCATCTCCTCACGCTTAGACTACTGTAACTCTCTTTTCACGTGTCTGAGCAGAACCTCCCTGAACCGTCTACAGGTGGTTCAGAACGCCTGTGCTCGGCTTCTGACCAAGTCCTCCAAACACACCCACATCACCCCGCTTCTCCTCCAGCTTCACTGGCTGCCAGTCAACTTCAGGGTTCATTTCAAGATCCTGGTTCTGGTCTATAGGGCCTTACATGGACAAGCACCATCTTACATTGGTGACCTTCTTAGTCCCTACACCCCCAGCAGGTCCCTGAGGTCCAGTGACCAAAGCCTACTGGTTGTGCAGCACCAGGCTAAAGGTCAAAGGTGACAGATCATCTGCTGCTGTGGCCCCCAGACTCTGGACCTCTCTCCCCCAGATGTTTACACCCATCCTCACGTTAGAGCAGCGTGCACCATGGCGTGCACATATTAGAAAAGAAGGGAAGATGGATAGTTACTGCCCTCCAGTGTCTTAAAGATGTTTCTACACTTTTATTCTTGTCAGCTGTTTAGAGAAAGAATAGCTGAATAAAGCTTAAAATTTTTTTGGTAAAATTTTAGCTGCTAGTAGCTCCAACTGTAGCTTGTTGATTTAATCTTATTGAAGACAGATAAATACAATAGATTTGACGAGTTTTAGTAAAATAGTTTGTATGTGAGAGTGAAGACGCCCTGGCTTTCCTGTTATTTAAACTATGTTTAACAGACAAACTTAAACCATCTCCATTACATTGGTGGTCATGCAGTATGTGTTTTTGTATATTTTATACAGGTAATTTAAAATTAGTTTTGTGGGTTGTTTCCCACACTTATTTTATGGATTTATTTTTATTTTTAATAAAATGTTAGTGGCAGAGGAGAAGTAAAATTAAAATGTGAGTTCAGAAAGTTGGGCAAATGCAAAAAAAAAGTGTTAAACAGTTAATCTGGGGAGCATGTGAACTGAGTTGAAAACGATTTAAAATATTCAATAAACAGGTGAAATTAAAAGTGAAACACTGCCAAATTACTTTTAACTGTTAACATATTTTCTAAAGCAAACTTCCAATTTAACAATCAAAAATTCAGCTGTAATATAAACACAGCTGCTATTAATACTAACTACTACAAAAAGCAGCAGCTTGTATTTAAGGTCAAAGAACAATTGTTTCTTGGATATTTTTTACAACCTAAATAAACTGTCATGCACATGCCAGACCGATAGGCGGCAGTCTAAGCAAACACAAGCTTTAAAACGTCTTCTGGGTGAACTTCAGCCACTTTTACTGTCAGAGGCGGAGACTGGTTAGCCTAGTGAGCTAGCTAGGCTAGGAAACTGCTCATGTCGGGTTAAAACAATAAACGTACTATAGGTTAAAACATGTCTGCTTGAATTCGTTTGGGACCGATTGACCACAGCTGCTGAAGACATTTAGGAAGCTTTTGAAACAAGAGTAGAAGATTATCAGTAGGACATCGCTCGTCAGCGCCGATTGTTGAACAAGGTGTTCAATTCTGACTACAAAAGAGGACAGGTGAGTCCACCTCTTCTTAACCAAGGGGGTTACCTGTTGGGCCCTCGTTAAAATACGTTAAAGTATAAGTCAGTCTTCATGTGGAATTTACAACTATTTTACTTTTACAATTCTTGTAAACTTTTTGTATTCGCTTTCATGCGGAAAATCACAGAATAAGATCCAAAGATCAAAAACATGAACAGGTTAAAACATATTTGGTGCGTCACAGACTCGAGCTGATTGGCCAAGGGTTTCCATGGCGGGAAATGGGACCAGCATCATCAGCTCTGATGATGGACGAAGTCACGTGATTCTAAGAGCCCACGGTAAATGATTAAATGTCTCATTTTGCCTCCAGATTGTAGTCAGTATCATCCACCTTTCCAATGTATTTCTTACAAAACTGTAACGAAGCTCATCGAACAGAGCCGTAACAGTGTGAAGTGTTACTTGAACTTCGAATTCTAAATTTAATGCAATGCAGTTCAACATTATTTAAATAACTAGATTGGGAAAATAGGTTGAGAAAAACGAAGCTCCATGATGGCAAATCTGCAAAACAAGGTAGTGTCTCTTAACACTTTAACACAGAATAACTATAATTATATTGTGGTGATTAAGAAAAATTAATGAAATGGGACAGCAGTAGCTCAGGAGGTAGAGCGACTTGTCCAGTCCTCTTAGACAGGGCTATTCAATTCTGGGCCTCGGGGCCAGTATGCAGCACGTTTTAGTGGTTTCTCTGTTCCAACACACTAGATTCAGTGGTTGAATCACTTGTGCAGCAGCTCTTCAGGCTCTACAGAAGCCTGTTAATCACCTGCTGATTGTTGAAGCAGGGCTGATACCAAAACGGGCTGAATACTGGCCCTCCAGGGCCAGGGTTCCCTACCCCTGGTCTAACTGTTTTCATATCTGAGAACAGTCCAGACAGCTAGCCTATCTTTCTTGGACCACCCAGCTCCTCTGTGCTTTGTGTTTACCACCCTGTGTTGGAGAGGTTGATCACTGAGTCGCGCTCCCAGAGCTGCAGTGGGTCCTTTGTCGTCCTGGACTCCTGGCAGCCCACAGGTGGTTTAATGAAGTTTGTGTTTGCTCAGCTAGTTGCAGCCCGCCACTCTTCCCAGTGCAACCAAAGCCCCCGGATCAGTTTTAAGTTGTAATCACCTGGAATGGCTCACATTTCAGCTATGTGGCGGGCACTTAACTCCTCTACCACCATCGCCTCAAATGTATTTTTTGCATTACTGAACTGGGTGGTATAAACAACACACATGCACACACACTGCTGGATTTCATTAAGAGAAATGCCCTTCATTTCCCTCCTATATCATACTTTCCCATAAGTTTATTTGTCCCAAACGACCAAATTAAAAAGATAAAAATGGTTTCTGCATCTTTAGCCACCATGGCATAAAAGGTTCGAATGGATTTGTGGTGAATCCAAGTCTGTGGAATCCATCATGGTTTTCACAAGCTTTCCCCAGTGATTAGCATCGGCTGGAACGTTGGCAGGTTCACCAAATCCAAACCACGCTGGTTCTGACCCGACACACTCGTGTGCTCTCGCAAAGTGTTTTTGTCACTAACCCTGCAATTTAGAGTCGTTTATCTCACCGCGTGGCTGAATCAAAGGCCTAAGAAAGGAGAACAAATTAACAGAAAGGTATTTAGCTTTTCTTAGGGACCTCGTTTAAAAACCACAGTATTCATGAAGCGGCAGACATGTTTTTATAGCTGGATAAACTACAAAGTCACTTTGTAATTTCATGGTTACCAACCTACCAATTTTGGGAGCCCAGTTGTGTTTGGGCTTTGTTTGTTTGCGTTTTTTTTTCCTTCTTCCCTTCTTTGTGCAAGAATCTATTCATATTTTCTGAAACTGAGCTTTGATTTTCACTGGATGTGGGATTATTTTTAGCTGTAGCAGCTGAGTGGCAGGTGCTTCACGTCTGCAAGCCGTAGGGCTGCACGACGTTAGCAAAACCTGCCATAATCGATAATGGTGATTAATATTGCAATGACGATATTACTTGCAATAAATAAAAACTTAACTCAGGAACTAAAATAATCAAAAACAAAGAAATAAAAAAAAACTCATAGAAACGAGAAAAGCAAAAGATGTGAGGAAAGGGAAAAATAAAATAAACAAGAAAAGGCGATCAGTGGATCCCGGGAAAAGCAGAATCAGCAAAAACAGCAGAACTAAGCTAACTCAGGTGTTTGCTAACCATCAAAATGGAGTACCGTCTGCCTCGGGGGCGGACCTCTAACCTATTGTAATCCACCCAATTGGCCAAATGGGTGAAGAGCTCTATTTGATTTGTTAAAAAACGCAATGCTTTCGTTTGATTGACAGAGTGCGTCATGTGTAGCAAATGGGGCTGGGGGTAAATGATTATTTTTAAAACGATTATTCTGACGATTATTTTATCGAATAGTCGACTATTCTAATGACTATTTAGACAGTTAATCTAGTGATTATTTTTCTATTGCACAATTAACAAAAACCAAAAAATCTAATTAATTCCTCAAAAAAATTGATAAATTTTTACTGTAAGACAATAAACACTACAGGCCTTCCATTTTGTATAACACTGCTTTTATTGTGTTGGTTGGTTATGTTCTGGTGGCGTGTAGACCTTGGGAGTGCAGGCTGCTGCCTGAGAGGTGGTTGGAGACGCAGTGTCTCCATGCTGCTTTGTTTTGGTCACTTATGTGCGTGAGGCGAGTGGTGTTACGACCCTTCCTGTGGAGTTTGGCTTGTGTGCAAAAAGGAAGGGACAATAATGGGATTTAAAAGTTAAAATGATGATCAGGTTTATTTACAACTACAAAAAATCATAAATCTTTCCATCCACAGGTTGGGAATAATAAAACGAATTCTGCCTGTGGGGAATTAAAACAAAAGTACAAATAAGTAGGGATGTCCCACTAAGATTACAGGGTTCTGGACCAAAATAAGGATCTCCAAAGGTCCAAACTCTAAACTGGGCGGTTAAACCAAACTCAAGGTGATATTTTACATTAAACCGAAAACCCACAACACTCTAAATGTAATAAAAGGGAGATCTACACCACAAAAAAGATGAGCTCTAAACCAAAACGGTACAGCTTATCCAAACGCAAGAAGCTGTTAGCGAAGATGCTAACAGTAGCTTTACCAACATTAAGTTCAAGTTACCAAGTTTAAATAAACCAAAAACACCCAGCAGCAAACAGACCAGCATGGAGGAGAGACTGCTACCACCAAAACAGCTCTCCTCATGTCTGAAAGAAGCTCCTTTATGAAGGGAGAAACGCTCCCGGTGATTTTCTACATCTGCGATAGAGACGGAGCAGCGCATCTGACCCCGGAAGTTGTTGTCCGTTGCCGGGAGACGAAGGCGGGCAAAACAGGAAAGGAATCTAGTAGTGGACGGACGTTGTTCCGGGTCTTCGGTATTTGGTGGAGATGTTGGTGAAGGCGGAGAAGAGGGTGAACTAGAGGAAAAACAGGCAGATTCCTCCTCTATTTATAAACTCCTGGGGATGCAACAAGTGGGCGCGGTGCGTCGACTACCGGATCTGACGTCGACAAATTTTTAGAATCGAGCCGTCGACGTCATCGAGGCTTCGCTACAGCCCTAGTAGCAAATACTTCAGCTGACCAGTCATTGCGATATTTATCTGTTCTTTGCGATATGTAGGGCTGCTCAATTAATCGAATTTTAATCACGATTACGATCTGAGTTTTGAACGATTATAAAAAACAAAACAAGCCGATTATTTGCTCCTCCCACTTGCGCTGCCCTGAGTTGCAAATGAAGCGCTCCTCCCACAGTGTTGCCAACTTAGTGACTTTGACGCTATTTCTAGCAGCTTGTCAGACCCCCTTCTTGACTTTTTAACTTAAAAGTACCTAGTGAACACCTCAGAAACATCTCTGGTAACCCTTAGCTACTTTCTGGATAACTGTCGTCGACATTTCCTGCAGGTTAGCTAAACACTCCGCCTGCGCTCCGGACCGTTCTTCACAACATTAGGAAAGGGAATGATGCAGTGATGTGTCAGTCGCTAAAGACACAGCTCTCGGAGCCGGCTCCCTGTTGGAGTAACCAGAGTGAGTGACACACACACACCGTATATGCGGACTCCTGAGCCACTAAAAACAGCTAAATGTGCGCGTGCGGCGTGCTAAACACACGTGCAGCTTGCCCTGATTGCTGTGAGACCGGGTTGGGGGGTGGGGGGTGCAGCTGTGGTTGGGACAATTATTACATTAACTGATGGACTTGTAAATAAATAGTTTATAAATAAGATAGAAATAACTTCCTCACGCTGATAAATAATAACTAATCTCTCTGAGGACACGGTGCTAGTGCACGCTCCTACAGCACCTTGACATGACTCAATAAATGTTATGCAACATTTTGTGAACATCAATTTATTTGCATGTATTTGTTATGAATGCCACTGTATAATTCTTGCTGTCAGTATTTGCAAGATATTGGTATTTGGGTCTGTACTGGTTAGACTTAAATGAGTTAAACCAAGGTCTATAGCCCTTGGGTCATAAACTATTAGCTATAAGTATATTGGTCTTTTTATACTGGGAATCAGGAGTTATCAGGAGGGTTGCTAGCCTAGTGAACTAGACCAAATTCTTGCTTTGCAAAGAATGGTCTAGGCATGCTCCATTGGAACCTCAGCAGCTCCTACCAGGACTCTGGCTAGCCAATCACAGCTCTCTAGAGGGGTTTCAAACACACAAAGAGCTGTGATTGGTCCATAATGGTGGGCCAGTCATAGTGGCACTCTATATGCCTGATGGGTGGGATGATGCAACAGAGTGAAACAAGAGGATGTCACATTCATTGTCCAGTGGAATGCGGAGATCATTTGAAAGACAACGGTAGAACCCGCCCCACAACCAAGAGCCGTCAATGGAGCATGGCCAGACTAAATAATACATTTATTTAGTCTGGCTTGCCAGGCTAGAGGGTTGCAGGTTCATGCCTTTCTCAGTCTGTTGCTGT